ATTTTCCAGGCTGTAATTTTCTCACTTTCTCAATGTGTGTCCCACACAGTTCCCTCTCCGTGTTGGTTTTGGCCCCAGAGGTGCTGGTGAATCCCAGAGCACCCAAGGGCACAGCTGGGACACACGAGGTGAGCGACTCAGGGCCAGCCCCGAGCTCCAGTTTTTGGGGTTTTAGGGTAAAATTGCTCCCTGTGAGGGTGGGGAGGGGCTGTGGGTGCCCCTGAATCCCTGCAGGTGTCCACTGGGGCTGGGAACTGTCCCGGCCCACGGGATGAGCTTTGATGTCCCTTCCAACCCCGACGATTTTTTGGATTCTGTGCCCACCCAGCAGAGAGCACAGGATCCCCTGAGCTGTCCCAGCACAGGAGCCCCTCTGTGCCCCAGCCAGGTCCTGTTCCCTTCCCCAGAGCACATTCCTGAGGGAAACACTCCCCCTGGGGCTGCAGGACACTCCTCTCCCCCCAGGACCCTGGAATTCCATTTCACTTCACTCCAGCAGCTTCCCGGGCTGGAAAAGTCACCACGTGCCACCTTATCTGGATGAGTGACACAGATCCTGGAGTCAGGATTGCTGCTGCCCCACCCCAGAGATCCCAGTCCCACCAGTGAGTGACAGCAAGGGCAGAGGCAGCAATTCCTGATCCCGGTCCTGCCTGGCCCCTTTGATGTGAGCTCTCCTTCCAGGACAGCTTTCCCAAGAGCCCTGACCAGGAATGTGCAGCAGAACTGGGCTGGTGCTCCTGGAGAACCCAGGAACACCTGGAGAGAACCCAGAACACCTGGACAGAACCCAGGAGCACCTGGAGAGAACCCAGAACACCTGGAGAGAACCCAGAACACCTGGAGAGAACCCAGAACACCTGCACAGAACCCAGGAGCACCTGGAGAGAACCCAGGAATACCTGGAGAGAGCCCAGGAGCACCTGGAGAGAGCCCAGAACACCTGGAGAGAGCCCAGGAACTCAGGATGGAACCCAGAACACCTGGACAGAACCCAGGAACACCTGGAGAGAACCCAGGAACTCAGGATGGAACCCAAGATCACAGGATGGAACCCAGAACACCTGGAGAGAACCCAGAACACCTGGATGGAACCAAGAAACACCTGAACCCAGAATCACAGGATGGAACCCAGGAACTCAGGATGGAACCCAGGATCACTGGATGGAATCCAAAATACCTGGATGGAACCAGAACACCTGGATGGAACCAGAACACCTGGAGAGCTCTGCAAACCCCAGGTCTGGAAGGGATCCAGCTCAGCCTGGCTGAGCACAGCAAGGCCAAGGGATGGGTGGAAAATCTGCCCAGCACCTCCAGCTGGAATTCCCAGACTGGCCCCAGTTCACCCCTGGGGACCACTGGCACTCCATTCCCAGTGGCACTGGACACAACCATAAATCAGGAATCGATAAATCAGAGTTTAGGATCAAAATCCCACTCCAGGAACACCTTCCCAAGCTGTGACACACAGCCTCCACATTTATTCCAGGATAAATATTCCAGGATAAATAATCCAGAATAAAAATAATCCAGGATCTAAATATTCCAGGATGAATCCCCCAGGCTGTCCTGGGGATCCCTGGAACCATCCCAGATCCATCCTCTGCCCAGCCTTCCTTCGTTCCCATCCCAGGGAAGGGAAGGATGAGGACCAGCAGCACCTGGAAAATGAGGATTTCAGGAAGGTCCTGGCAGGATCTCAGGTGCCCAGGGTGATTCTGTGCCAGTCTTGGTGGCACTGGACAGAACAATAAATCAGGAATCGACAAATCAGAGTTTAGGATCAAAATCCCACTCCAGGAACACTTTCCCAAGATGTGACACACAGACTCCACATTTATTCCAGGATAAATATTCCAGGATCTAAATATTCCAGGACATAAATATTCCAGGATATAAATATTCCAGGACATAAATATTCCAGGACATAAATATTCCAGGGTATAAATATTCCAGGACATAAATATTCCAGGATAAATCCCCCAGGCTGTCCCGGGCATCCCTGGAACCATCCCAGATCCATCCTCTGCCCACCCTTCCTTCGTTCCCATCCCAGGGAAGGGAAGATGAGGGACAAGGACAAGTTGGGATCAGCCAACCAGGACACCCCAGTGGTACCTGGAAAATGAGGATTTCAGGAAGGTCCTGGCAGGATCTCAGGTGCCCAGGGTGGCTGTGGGGCGGTGCTGAGCCCACCGAGGGGCCCAGGACAGGCAGGCAAGGCTGGGGAGTGGGGCAGAGGCCAGGAGTGACCCTGCAGCCCAGCCGAGGAGCATCCCTGCTGCCGGGCATCCCCTGCACGGCTCCTGCTGCTCCTCCCGGAGCTGCTTTTCCAGCAGAGATTCCTTCCCCTGCTCATCCCCGTCACGCTCCCAGCATTTCCAGGCTCTGATTTGATCTGGCTTTGCTTCTCCTCTCAGTGTCTCACTTTATCAGCCCTGCTCAGCATTTCATGCACTCCTCGGTATTTATTTTTTTTGCCGAGGGTTTTCCAGCACCGTTCCTCAGTGCTGAGCCACATTTCACAGCTCCAGCGGCTCTCAGAGCACGAAAAGCTGCTCTGTTCTCCTGCAATGCAGCTCTGATCCCCTTCACAGCCTGCCTGGCACAGCGACAAAAAAAAAAAAATCCAACCTGGAACCCCCAGGGCAGGGCTCCAGCAGGGATGAGAGCCTGGAACAGGGAAAAGCAGAGCCGGGCTCCAGTGAGCTCATTCCCAAAATGTGATGTGGGTGGGAAATGCCGTGCCCTGCTCCACAGAACCACCGCACATCCCCCAAGAGCTCCCTGCAGCCACCCCTGCCCCGGCCCACCGGGAAAATCCAAATCCTCTCGGCATTTCCTCATTTCGTGGGAGGGGAGGCTGGACTGCACCTCGTCCCATCCCCAAAAAAAAGATTTCGAGTGATGGGCAGGAGCAGGGGTCACCCCAGAGCCCCCCCTGCCCTTGGCCTGAGCCCTGCTGGGGGGGAAGAATCCCCTGGGAACCCGCAGAGCCACG